TGGATAAGTCTGCAATGATAAGTGTTAAATAATATAAAAAAGAGGAGATGATATGGTTAGAAATAATAAACTCAAACTACCTTGAGATACAATCTAACGTTGTTAAAGATGCGTCTAAAATCTTGAACGACTTGGTCATAATCAGTGTAAGAGGAATTTTTCAATTTAGTTGATATATCGTGAAGACACATTGGATATTTGACGACTTCATAAAATCTTGGAGCCTGCAAGAAGATAAAAAACAAAAGTTAATACGCACTTTTAACCAAAAATTTACAAGAAAACATTATTGTCTTACCACTTTTATATCCATATCGTGTTGAATAAAAACAGATTCATTTATTTGAGAGAACTTTTTCAAAATGGATTCAAATTTTTTATTGACAGAAGCTGGAAGAGGCTTCTTCTTTTTAGGATGGTACCACATACCGGATACAGATACCTTGGATTTACCAGCAGATTTCTTCTCCTTCTCGTCCCGAATATAGTTTCCGGTATGATCAAAACTAGGACAGCGTATATTCTCTTTAGTTTCCGTATTCTTAGCTACAGGTATCTCATTGTAGTCATTTCTATCAAACGGTTTTGTTTCTTGTTCCGAATTTTTAGTCGTGCCACCTTCAGAGTGTTGCTGACCCGTACACTCGCTTTGCACTGCATTGTTTTTGTCTACATCCCATAAATCAGGTAAAGATTTCATTGCAAAATTCTTGGCATGCGCTTCAGCCGTCCATGGTCCAAGGTCATTATTTTCTACCTTGCTTTTTGCCTCTTTAAATTCATCGGAATATTCTTCACTGCCGCCAAGTCCTAAAGCATCATACAACCGAGCTGTATCTGATTTAGAACCCTCTTGTAAGAGATCTACAAATTTTGGCACAGATTGTTTTGCAGCTTCCCATGCGCGGTCTGATGTCAACGCGCTCAGAACATCCAGAGTATCGACAGTTCTTAAGTCTAAACCTGGTAGTAACGGTCTAGCAACCATTTTTTGATCTTCGCCCATTACATCATCGGAACGTCTGGGTATCAAGCACGGCCATGATTCCATATTATATTTTGGCTGTGGTGCCAATGTCACCGGTGGAAATGGTACTTTCAATTTCAAAGCTGCATTGTCATCAATGCAGTTATCGAAGGTTACGTCTTGGGAATTACCTATACCGAAAGGTGTAACAGGATCGGCAGGTTTTATTGGAACTTTGTAACTCCCAGGTTTCATATAAACTTTACTCATTTCATGAAACTCATCATTATCAGGATCAATAAATTGCACGGGGCCAGATATATTAGTAGGAAGCACAACATTAGACGGAATCTGAATGTTGTGCGAATGATGAGTTATAAATTCATTGGGTTCTTTTTGAACCATCTGACCCCACGCCGCAAAAAAATCAGCCTCTTCTTTTGTGTCGCCACAACTGTTATTTTTCTGTACATAACATCCACGTACTTCGTTAGTCGACGCCATGCTTGGAATTAAAGTTTTTTCGACGTGACTTAATGGTATCATTTTAGCTTTAAGATCCAAATCTTTACGGTGCATCACATCGCATGGCATATTTCCCATAAGGGGTTGACCAGGAGCCTTGCCAAGTTCTGCATCCATTTTATGTTTAAGCTGATTGTACAATTCTCTTTGATCCGCGTAACACATGCTTTCTAAAACACGAAAGTCTGGCATATTCGTAATAGTCCAAGATTGGCGAGGCTTCGTCTCGCGGACGTTACAAGGGTCGCATTTTATTTGAGATCTTTGAAAAGAGTCTATCTCTGATTGATCGCTCAGGGGATAAAAGTTATGGGAATTCTGCGGCGGTGCTACGGGAAATTTTTTGTAGCTCACCCCTGATCGAGCCGGCCACGGTCCTTCGTTAAATGATTGACAAACGACTTGATTTTGATTTTGAATCCACGGCGGTTGTATTGCGTTGTATAGTTGAGGTGACACGTTAACCGGTCTCGGAGTACTAACATGTGGCTTTGTTTGTTGAAATTTATTTGGATTTTGGTGTCTAGGAGCTGCGGAATTTGTGGCGTAATAGTTATGAGTGAAACTTTTCTGCTCCATTGTAAATCCATGATCTAGACATTTAAAAGTTTTATAAATATGAGTCAACATTTCTTTGGTGACCGCTTGCCATTGGACGAAACATTCTCGTATGTTAGGGCTATAGTATTTGTTTTCGATTCTCGAGAATGTGTCATGTTTTTCGCTCAACAATTCTTTAACACCTTTCCAACCGTCAAGGATACGTACAAAGGAGAAAATAAAGTTTTTTATTACCCACGGTATACCTTGGGAATGTAAATTGGCGACTGCGCTGTCTGGTTTTTGAACATTGGATCTAGTTTTTGCGCATATAGAATGTATATTTTTGAAGCATGGCCTGTTGTGATGCGCTATCGCTATATTTTCAGCATCAGTGCAGGCTTCAATAGCTAATTGTACGATTTGATTTGGAATCTGATCGTGAATAACAATTTTATCTAAGGCCGTTAAAAGAACATCGGAAGATCCACAGCGACTATTCTTATCCTCTTCTTGATTAATTGTTTTTGTATTCTGTTTTGAATTACCAGCATCGCTTCGTAAATTTGCATTAGGATCGGATATGTTACAGAGTTCAGAAACCATTCTTTCACCTTCGAGAAAAAAGTCAAGACTCGACGTAGACTCAGATTTCAGTGTCTTGTCTTGTTTTCTTAAACGATCTATTTCAGTACTGTTGTCTTTGTAACGTTCATGATAACGAATATCACTACTGTAAGCATTCTTTGTGTCTTGACTCTTTACGATTTTCTTTTTAGCACCTGTTCCGATCGGTTCCTGGTTAGAAGTGGACCACGAGCTCTGCGAACGTCTGTCAGAGTTAAGACGATCTGTCATTATCCCCGGTCCGCTGTAGCTCGATGATGAAGGGTCAAAAACCAAACCCACGAGAGGAGAATTAGGTGGTGAGCTGAACGTGGGGACCGATGGATTGTTGTACCTAAAATTCATTTATAAATTAGGTATAACACTCATTTTGACAGCCGTCAGAGCAGAGAAAATTTGAAGTACATTATTACACGAATTATTAAATCGGATACCGGAATATTCATCTATGCAGAAAAATAGAACATAAAGCTTGCTATCTGACCCGTCTAAAATAATCTATAATATTGTGATGGTACCTCGGATTCTGATACTGCTGGCTGGAGGACGAGGCTTCGTATACTCCAGAAGCACCTCTGCTGTAATTTCCAGGATTTTGTTCAGGTAGTTCTTTGCTGCTGCCACCTAGGAAGATTAAATTTTATTTATTTTCAATGAATTCAAAAATGCTTTGATATCGAGTATTGATTTCGGCTGCTAGTAATAACGGAATAGCGACATGTTTGAAAAAGTCTTACTAAAGGTCTTCTGCGTCATCAAGGGATACTGATGAGAGGGTCCTTGGTAGCAGTCGCCGTGGTGCGCGCCCGCCCTGCCCGCCTCCGCCTTCCCGCCGCGGCTATCACCAGGCTTACTCGACCCCTCGCTGCCATAATCTTGCATTTGGCTACGGTATCGCTGCAAATTAGTATAAAATTGTTAAGAAACAATGTTTTTAATTGCTTATATTCTTAACATATAATACTAATATTTTATTTCATAATGCTTCTTCTCTTTTGAGTGTCACTGGATATTAGGAAAGAGTCATGAGAATACGGGACCCTATTTGAAATCGCCTAACGCTTGATGTAGTCGCAAAATTTTTCCTTAATTCTAAATATTTTCCTTAGGTTCGCTTAAATTGAATATTACAATGGAAAAGAATGCCATTTCCTTTTCTCTCTACTTTTTTCCTATCCATACTTACTTTAAAAAAATCTAATCTTCGTCATTCAAATATTGCTAGTGAACACAAACGACATACGAAGTCTTCATATGCTTGGGGGGTTTGCCTTTTGCACTTAAACTAAAAAAAATCTCATTTAAAATTCCAAGATTTCTGGAACTTAGAAATTTAAAAGCCCACGTAATTTCTACCGATTCTCCCGAAAAATGTTCCTTTATAGAAAAACAAAAATAAAATAAGATTTTCCTTTAGCAATGTGTTTTAGAGAAAGGATTTCCAAAAAACTTTTGCTAAAAAAAAAAAATTTGGCACTTTTTAAAATCTAGATGGTCCCAACGAAAAACTGTCATCAAAGGTTTTTTTTAAGAAAATTATCTCAAAATACAAGAATTTTCATATATTTTAGCTATATCTTCTTTTTCAAATCAAAACTACGTCTTATTTCAACAAGTATTATGATTTTACGAGCTCGTAACAAGATTTATGGTTATTCGAATCAAAATTTATAATTTTAAGATTTCTGCCACTCACCTTTTGTAAATCAACTGGTTCCAATGAAGGAGGTCCGTGTTAGAACATTGTACAAATTAAAAAAACTATTCCGTTCTACTTAAAGCCAATTCGGCTGACGGAAATATAGCAATTTTTTTTACAAAAAAAGCAATCTATTCTTATGTATTAGTGGAAATGATTTCACTCGATTTGTCGCGTGCGATGTTTTGTCTTCCTTATTTTCTAAATGAATAAGCGTTTTAAAGAAGTCTAAAATCACGGTCGATCTTAGATTTGTACTGAATAATGTCTGACTTGCCAAATAATTGAAACCAACCATATGATCTTGTTCATTTGTTTGCCGAGGTGGATGTCATTCGAATTTTGCTTTTTAGTGGCTATTTGACTGTTAGTTCGCATGCCATAGGAACTTCATAAAGATTCATTGTAAATAAAAAATATCTAATTAATTTAAGCTAAATAAAAACAGTAATTTACTACTAAAAATTAGGATTTTTTTAGTAGGCTCGCCGTGACAAAAATACAACCCAAATTTAAGAGGATTGTTGCCTCGGCTGTTTAAAAAAATTAAGGAAAGCAACTAATAATTAAAATACTTTAAGCTAAATAATTATAGCTACAAACACATAAAAACAACACCATTTTTTAAATTCTTTATTCAGAGAACTTGTCATAAATTCTAATATTAAATTATCTCACAAGGACGATACCGGAGTAAGCTAACAGCGTTGCGATGAGAAGACTGGATGCGGTCAAAGCATGGCTGTTGTTGCAGAAATCACTGAAGCACGAGCACACTTCCTGACGTCCTCCATACCCTGCACGATGGTAGCACATACCCTGGAATAGAAACCATGCAAATATGTACTCTATACTAAAACAGTAAGATTGTATTTTGCATCCACCGTTCCTATTTTTGGAGCAGAAAATAAAGTGATAACTACTAGCTTATCTATCTCTAGATATATGTAGATATAAAAACTACTTCGATTCTTCTTCTTCTTGAGGTGTCTCTCCGACTAACGAAGGTTGGCGATCAGTTCTCTATATTTTATTATTTCTTTTCTTTCATTTTCTTTTTAGCGATTTACTTCGATTAAAACCATATAAATGGTAGCTATCCTAGCCCTAGCCTAGATTATTTCCCTGACAATGCGGATATATAAGACCAAGATTCCCGCTGATCGTTTGCCTTCATATCATATGGACTGCTATTTAAGCTTGCAAAACTCTTGGTAATAAGCGCTGTGCTTTAAAAATAGTCAATCCTATACTTTCCAACTACTGTCTATCTTCTTACCTTATACTTGGTTTCATCCCAGCCACAGGATCTTATAACCCTATGCTCTGGGTACTTGCCATTGACTGCATGTTCAACTTGCTGCACTATCTTCCTGCATAAGGTGTGTGTGATGCCGCGGTCGTGCTCAGAACAGTTCCTCTTTAAGCTATCCGGGAGAACAGCAGCGCTGCAAAATGTGTTTGTCGCGCTGTTACATTCGTAACACATTATTGCTGATCCTGGAAATTATAGACAATGTTAAGACTAATGATAAAAATTTATAGGTTAATTTCTTTTTTTCGAATTTATGATGAGATTGGCTCTTGTAACACATTCTTCAGTTCTACTTCAGGAGCTAACGTTATTTAAATATACTCTAAATGAAGAAAACACAGGAAAAACACATATAGATTATACAAAATTGGGTATAAGCCCTCTGTGTAAATATTCACTTTTAGCTGTCGCCCGCGACTCCATCCGCGCGTAGTTAAAAAACTTAATAGGTAGCCTATGTGTTCCAGACTGTTCTACATCTATGTCAAATTCTGGAGATATGTTCAAACAAACATCTATCCATCTAAACATTCGCATTTATAATATTAGTAAAATGTAAATTGGGTTTAAAAATGGATTATGAGACGATTTGAAACTTTAATTTAATTTCGTTATTTTTGCCTTGAATATCGTCTGACTAACAGCATGCATTGAACACTGATCCCGCAGCTATCCGGATCGAGTCGCATATTGTCGGTTAATAGGTTAACCTGAGTCCAATATTCAAACAGACGATATAATTTGATTCGTAGTAAATGAACACGAAATATTGTCTTTAAATTTATATAACTGTTCGATTAAAGAATATAATCCTATATATTATTTATTAATAAATAAATAAATAAAGATTATACTATTGTAAAGATGAAATAAACTTATGGGTTATTAAGAGAATAAAAAGTCAAATAAAAACTATATAAATCCAACGCATAATTTTAAAACAAAAAAAAACTTAACAATTGAAGTTGATTTAACTAAGGTCTTTAGGGACTTAGTTATTAAATAAAAAGTAATACAGACCAAACTCGATGAATCCGCAAACGACAAGAAATGGGACTAACATATCCATCGTTGCACCTCTCCTTTGCCAGGCCAGAATGACACTCCAAGCTCGCAGCTTATATGTCCTCTCTACTTATTATGTACTAACTGTCCCCGCGACTTCGTCCGTGTGAAATACTGTTTTTGAGCCGCGCGGTACTGGACAGTACTTGGACATTGCAACATTAATTTATTTTAAAAAAATAAAAGAATTAATTTAAAATATTTGTAGCCTAAGTTACTCCTTACTACATCAGCTAAAATTGGTCCAGCTATTTCAAAGATTAGTCTTAACAAACAAACAGACAGACAAAAATTGTAAAAGTGTTATTTTGGTATATTCATACAAATGTAGTTTATTTCGATATTACAAACAGACATTCAAATTTTATTTATATGTATCTGTATCACAGGTCTTTCAATTGTATCATTGGGTACATGAATACAGGACGTTACTCATTGTGTCATACAAGGGAAGCATGCAATTTGTTACGATTTTCTGGCAACTTACATAACTTAGTCAAATGTATCAATTTTCAAACTAAATTGAATATTAATTCTGACTATTAGTAGACTTCTGATGTAGATTTAACAAAGAAAAGCATTCATGAGTTACCCCAATCGATGTCCTTGACACCTAACCTAAAATTATAATGTCAGAAATATAGGGAAACTATAACTGATAAATAAAACACGAACTAATTAAAAACTTTTTTTAATAAATATACTCACATTTCACAAACACAACAATAAAGCTATTAAACGTTTTGATTTATTTTACATGAACTAGCAACTCGAGGTAAGGTTCGTTAGACATAATTAAAATGCCGCTAAACCTATTAGAATATCTTTGACGTACTTGATATGCTAATTCACTATTTAGCACTTTAAATAGAACACATAGAGGTTTTAGTGATAATTACATCATCCAAGGATTTACCATTCACCAACATTCGTATCTTTTGCAATTTACTCATATAATATTTTCAGATCCAATTCCAATTATCCTAGGATTTTGGTATTTATAAGTTTTAAAACTTAAGCAAGGCGAATGTGAGTAACATTAAAACGGTCGCTCCGACTGGCACAGAGGCTGAGTTACAGCCGTCTTCCAAACAAGAGCATACCTCCTGTCTCCCACCGAAACCTGACCGCTGATAGCAACGACCCTGGGGACATAAGAAATGTTCATAAGTTCTAATCCTACATGCATTTATTATACGTGATTTTTAGACGTGTTCTTCATAATTAAGTATGAAAGATTCGGTGGTAGAAATAAATCTTGCTTTTGGTTCTTATATTTCAGTATCAAATTACTTCGTTCAATTTCGGTTATGAATGTGCGTAAAAAATTGGAAAGTATTCGCTGCATTTATCCGTTATTTTTACGATGAAGGAAAACATCGTGGAGCAAACTAAACATAATTGAAAAGAAATCCGCAATAGACTACTATAGTTGACTCTAGGTTAAATGCGTCTAATTTATAGTAATACCTCATATCTCTCCGTAGGGGCTAAAATAAAGGGGGTACTACACCGCTAATTCCTATAATATACCTTATAACTGGTGTCGTCCCAGCCGCAGCCTCTGATGACTCGGCTGTCTGGCGGCATACCGTTCATCTCAAACTCGACGACCTGTGTGATCTTCCTGCACATAGTATCCTTAGGTCCACTGCACGGCAGCCGCAGAGAATCCGGCAGCTTTTCCAGTAAGCAGCGCGAATCATTGTGGCTATTGCATTGGTAGCATACTATCGCCAGACCTGCAAGATGAAATCAACTTTAAAATACATGAATTTAATAGCGATTTAAGCATATGTAATAGCTTTTTAAGCTGTCAATATCGAGTTTTTTTTTAATTTATGACCTGGTAACATAGACCTTTAGGTCAATCAATATCGAGAAGTTCATGACGACAAAGATTATAAAATCGTGGTAGTGTAAAAAAAACACACAGAGTAAAAAGAGAGATAATACTTAAAGTTGTTTAATTCTTCTACCAACTTAATTACTTTAAAAATACAATTTGTCACAGATATTTGACCTACAATTAATAATGAGCTAGAAAACAAATAAACGACAAACAGCCGGACATAGTAGACTTCTGCAATTAACCACTTAAGGTTGATTGTGGTTTCATATTTATTTTTACTCGTGTCTGCGATTAATCGCTTCATATAAGATATATTATTTATAGGATGTAACTAACCACTATCATATACATTTTATATACATAAAAGGCGGTCTTTAATCTTAGATCTTCATTTTACGGTTACAGTTTTTTTTAATTCATACAGTATGCATGAATAGCGAGTTTGAAAAACCGAATTTGATGTGCAAAAGAACTTTAGCACACAGATTCTAAGTAAAAACCTTAAGTTAGAGAATAAAGAGAATTCAACAGTGGTAGAGCCCGCTTTAACATCTTCGCGCGAATTGACCCGGCTCGCCCGGTGAAATACCACGACCACACAGAAGACAGGCGTGAAGTGGAAGCAATTCCGCGCTTCGTCTGATGAATGTGCGTCCCGAAGGCCAAATTTAGTCCACTTTCACTTCCCACCCTTTTTCTTATAAGGAAAGTATGGGAAATGGAAGTGGACTTTCCGGATGAGAGGATGCATGGGAAGGGAAAATATTTTCTTTCTATGCGTCCTCTCCACCGTCGATTAAAAGTTGGCAACGCATATGAAATTGCGTATGTCTATGGGCAACGGTCACTTCGCTATTTCAGCGATTTCATGTGACCGCTCGCTCGTTTGCCACCTAATTATATAAAAAAATAGCTCTTTTTGGCGGCCCAAGGTCATAGGCGTGCCCTACCCGGCATACTACGCCCCGCAAAACATAACATTGTGTTCTGCACAGCGACTCGCGCGACTTTAAGAGCCACCAAGATATCTGAAAACTATAATACGCAGTTAAAACTGAAGGTGTATAGTGGTCTTAATATTTTTATGGTTAGAACATATCCCTAAAATACTTGAAACAACTTATTGATCTATTAAAGTGCGTTTTCGAAACACTATTTCATGTTTCGATATAAAATTCTATTCGTGAACTGAAGGTAAACCATCATACAGTTCAAACGATACGTCATTCGCAAAACTATGAATAGAATATTTATATGAATATTCATATATTTGATGCCAATGCTAAAATATATCTGCTACTATAGGCTTAACATAAACGTACATTACTTTCTTTAGTCCGAAATACTATGACGTCTATGAAGCTTGAAATATTTATCCATAACTCTTATTTGGTGGCCTCTGACAAGGCACGTGTCAGATAAAACCTGTTATAAAAGTTCACAAGACAAGGAAAATATTTAGCTTTGTATAATTCTATAATAACAAGATATGAATGAATATAAGGAAATTAGTTGACTTTATACGACATTACGACAAATTGGAACATGGAAGAAATATTTACCTGTTGAATAACATTTTCATGTGTTTGTACTTATTTCTGTGTCTATAATTTTATTACCTTTAATATATCTTTTTTTAAATTATGTCATTTCCAAAGTTTCAATTGTTAAAGATGTGAAATAGATTTCAATTGTTCATGGTGAACATCAGGCAAACATTTTTTACGTGAAACACGATCAAAAAAGTTGCACGATTATTATGAATACTGACTCACAACATAACCATATTCGTAACAATTATATAAAATAAACAGCAATAAAAGCGCTGCAGTTATCTGTATACATAAGCCGATAGTCTAAAATTTCTCTAATTTATACATTAAAACTTCAGATTTAGCAAAGTGAAAGGGTAGAGACTAGCTTCATTTTCTTTTCGTAGATATATTAAAGTTCAAGTTTCTATTCTAAATGATATTGCGTATCGCAAAAAGATATGATAAACATGAAACAACGTTAAATCGTTCTATTGATCCTATAAAAATCACATAATCTTACAATCCATTTAAAATCACCGAATCGATCACCAATATTTGATCATAAGCATAACACAAACCTTGGTGGAGTAAGCTACAAATTACCGCCAAAATGCACAGCGTCACTTGCGCCATTTTGTCAAGTCGACCGTTTGGGTAGTCGCACCAGTAATGGGCCCGCTCGCGCCGGTTCCCGCCGGCCAGTACCGCGCGCGCGTCTGCCTGCAATACGACTGGCTAACAACTAGGTGCTACTAGCCCACGCTTTGATGTTATATCTATCATCTAAATGAACGGTGAGCGACGTTTATCCAATTGCCAGTAATACACCGTTAAATTGGTTAACATACGCGACGTTGACAATTGAATTAGGATATCGTCGAAGATCCATCTCTGGATGTCACCAGTTGTGCAATAGGTACTGACCCAGACCTCGATATGGAAATGGAACAACAATATAGAAACTGGATATGGGGCGCGACAGTACCCCGCCTAGAAGAGCATGGCTGAACCATCTTTTTCTTTGTATATTGTAACTTTTTAAGATAAAGCTTGTATCAACAGATGTTATAATCTGTACAAATGCGTCAAGTACATTGGCAATTTCTAGTTTAATGCAGAAACTAAATCTATTCAGTGGTTCAACGAAATTAATCGGATTAAGTGAATCATAACTTACCAGTCGCTACTGGCTGAGTTTGGATTTGATTCTATCGTACAATAGGACTCTAAAGAATTGTTACCATACAAATTTATTTTGATGGTTATAGCACGTACTTGATATTTGAAATTACTTTCTAGCCCAACTCTTTCACCTCGCAAAAGGTAAACACATGTGGAGTACTTGATCGCCAACCTTTGCTAGTTAGAAATGCACCTCAAGAAGAACATAACAATAGTATACCTACTTAATGTTTAAATGTTGAAATAATAATGATACTTATAGTAATAAAGGCCAACTTGGCCAGCGTGGTTGACTATAGCCTAATCACCCTTAACTTAGGGTAGGCCCCGAGCCCCTCGGTGGGGACGTATAGTGAGCTGAAGATGATGATGATAGTAATAAATATAAGTATGTATTATCAATTACTACGTATTTATCGTTATATTAAACGTTAATAAATTTATAAAAACATGTCTTCAGTTGCAGACACCTACGTATAATGGCGTATCATACGAGAAATTGTATTAAACGTGATCGTATTAACGGTGTTCTACTAAATACGTACGTTGATACGATTTGATAATCACATCATTTAATATAAACTACATGCAGACAATGCATGCAGTTTATGCAAGACGAAGAGAGAAGAAGAAGAGAGTTTATGTTTAAGCTGCTCTGTGAGCCCATAGTGGACATTAAAAGACTCTGAGTGCGAGTCGATGGATTAAACTAAACAACAATAAGTAGGTAAATCTAACGATGAAACATTAACTGCTGACTATTATACGTCTATAACTTATATGTCTTTATAGTTGTAGTACGATCTATTCGTTGTTTCAATTGACACACGAGAACCAATTCAATTAGGGCGCATTGAGGTCGCAAAGGACGCGCCCTATGTCAATCCATCGCTATACCGTCCGCTCTGACCGACGATTGCTTTGGATACAAGCAAAATGGGAATTTTTTCAAATTGGTTGACAGAATTTTTTCTTATCGATACTTTTTTATTTATTTATTTATACACAGATTATTAAACCTATTTCCTTAATGTTGAAACATTATATTGAAATGTTTAATTAAAAAAAATCGTTGTAATGACGTTAATACGCATAGCATAAATATTTAATCTCACTAATATTATAAATACAAAAGTTTAGATTGATGGATGTTTGTTTAAAGGTATCTCCGAAACAGCAACAGGGATCTTGTTAAACTTTGACACAAATTTACAATATAGTCTGGAAGAACACATAGGCTCCTAATTAAGTTTTTCTTTAAATTCCAGTCGCAGGTGACAGCTAGTAATAATTCTTCATGGCCATTTTAAACGAATCTACATGTCTTAGACGTAGTGTTTTTCTGATAGTATTTTCTTCTATGCTTGAAGCTTACTTAATAATTTAAACGTTTTCTGCCTTTACAGAGCTGTAAGAATTGTCGCTCTATTACATATTTTATTATTTATAAGGAAAATTGTAACAATGTTATCGTGTAATGCGTTTGTTATTCAGCTAAACAGGTGGGCGGGAATGAACGCAGCGTTTCCTGTACGGCGGCACATTAGTGTAATGTACGCGCCCTCGCCGCGCCGCAGCCGCGTGCCAAACGCAAATTGTCCAGTATCCTGCGCACACCAGCAAGACATGGACATTTTTATGAAAGATAAACAATTTTATATTTTCTTTAGCAGATTATTGACAAATAAGTTTGATGCTTGTGCTAGGATACTTTTCCGCCACTAGGCGTAAACCCAAACAGTAGCATAACTAAACATAAACACTGGATATCACATAATAAATTGTAGAAGTTAATTATAATTGCTTATGGGAAGACTTTATAAGGGAATACATTTACATTGCCCTTAACTACACCCTATACCCTAAATTCACAGTTTTATTTTGTAAAAACAACAATGATGCCAAAAATCTCAACTAGCCATGCAAATCCGAGATATCTCAGTAGTATTATTGCGTGTAAATATATCGTCCGGGTGTGCAAGAAGATTGGTCTCGTGATCATCAATTGCGGGGCCGCAGGTCTTCCTGCCAATCTGCCGCCGCTTCCTCCTCGCAGCTACCCGTAACTCCACACCACTGATTATCTACCGACCTATTCTACACGGATACATTTATACAAGTATACAAGAAAGTAGATAAAACAAGAATAAATATAACATAACTTTTTTATAATGTAAGAAAAAATTAATTGGCGGATGCCCCAGAGAAATATAAAAAACACTATTTATAATCTGTACATTTTTATAATCTAGGGAGGTGAACAACGGATCGTCTATTCTTAAGTAATTAGAACGACATCTAAAAAAAACAATTACCTCCGCAAATTCTTAACACCATTAAAAAATTCGAATAGTATGTTACGTCACTTTTCCAAATCGGTCAACTTTAGGCATTTGGCGGTTAAAATATGTGTATATAACCTCAAAAATGTCTTGTCATTCGGAAATGCATTCATAAACAATATTTCGCATTTTTTAAATTTTTGTGTCTTCAATGTATCAACCACTATGCCTTTGAGGTTATAAGCAATAGACGAGTAGCAAACGATTCTTTTCCGTTAATCAACTAACTCAATTACTGTAGACCTAGATACAGCTCGCCCTAGTATCGGAAAGATGAACGCACTGTATAGAATGAAACAAATTTATACATTAAATTAGGAACCTAACAGTTATTCTTTCTTTTAAATGCAATTTGTAGGTTTTCAGATTCTTCTCTTCAAAGAATTTGTTTAAATTAACTAATCAATTTGCAAATAAAAGTAACTTGGGTGTCAAAAACAGCTTTTTAATAATCAAATTGAAACTTAGCTTTTAATATTATGTATTAATAATTGGTCAATTCTCATTGAAAATATTGTGGTTTATGTTTTGAGAAAAAAAATGGAAGAATTTATCTTTGGTTTGGTATATTTGTCTTTGGTTTGGTTCTAACTTTGCAAGCGATCACTAGATGGCGCTGATTGTCACCACCACCATCAACATATGCTAACGGTCAATTGATTTTACACTAAAATAAAAAGTCCATTTCATGTAGTCTCTTATATTAAATTTCTTATGCCAGATAATTAAGTATTTTGCTACAATGTGGGAATGAAGAATTTTTTGTGACCTCATTCCCACCAGTTATGTTTTGCTTTATTAATGTTTCCTCTTCCAGGCATACCTTTTCTTGAGCTGCTAGCTCACGCACAAAACCAAACCTATCCGGTTCTACCCCTTTATGTGTCAAAGAGATTACAATGAATGACCGAGTTATATATCCCAGTCTATACTCACGTTCAGACAGTCGCCGTCTGGCTTCTAGTGAAATATAACGCACTATATTTTGAATAAAATCAGAATAAAAATTTAAATCACTTTATTCATATAATTTATTTGGAAAAAATTAAAAGTTCAGACGCCTTGATAAATAAAATAGCAATTGTTATTAACATTGTTTTTGCGAGCAGCCACTGTAGGAGCACATAAAATGGTAGTAACGCGGGAAAATAAAATAGTACTTAGTTTTTTACTGTCGGTTTTTCTTTCCAACTCATGTAAGTATTTTATTTTCATTCATTTTTAATCAACTATAAAAGCAGCGATTAACTTGTTGATGGCGGAGGACCTTACCTTAACAATAAATTCTTATTTTCAGGTGACGCGATAAAATGCTTTGATTGCAACAGTGCTAACAATTCTGCCTGTTTGGACATGCACCTACACAAAATGCACGCCATCGTGCCTGTCGTGGACTGCGCCAAAGCACTCCCCAACGCTTTGAGCAGTCAATTCTTTTGCAGGAAAATGGTACAAACAAGTAAGTACTTTTGTCTTAATAAATATGTTTACTCTTAAATATTATCACAATAAATAATTTATACAAGTATCCAGTTCTACGATTTATCATCTTCCTTACCTCCACCATATAGGGCTTAAAGTTTTTTTTTTTTAATTATTATAAAGATAAACGATTCGATTGTTTGCATTGAATTGAACTCTAGAATGAATGAAAGTTGCTAGCTGTTTTGAGCTACACTATTGCCAGATGATATAGGTTATGTTTCTTACTAGTTGTTTTAAATTACGCGGGGAAGAAGTCACTGTTAACTGCTATTCGCTTTATTGTTCATAAACATTTTAAACGTGTTGTCTATAATCGTAATTATTTAAGTTAATGTATGGTTACCAACATTTTTCATAGCCTTGTTATAATTTAATTAAAGGACAGGGTACATCCGTAGTAAACTAATACAAAATGTATGTATACAAGTTACTTTTAATGCGGCCTATTGAATGGAATATACGCAGTCCAAAGTTAACAGTGCGTGTAAAGTTATATTCTGAGAAGGTCAAACGATATAAGAACGATGTTGGTGCGATAACAAAATGAGAGATCGTTATTAATTTTTAATAGTATAATGATTTGACTAAAGAATGATTAACACAAATTATTTATAAACTAAATACATTTGAAGCATATAAATTGTATTTTTAACCTCAAATATGCTCAAAACGGTTACTTTCGTCGAATGTTTATTGCAGGCCAATGACATATAAAAGCTAGAATAAAACACGCATAATAGGTATATTTTTTCAATGTAATTTCTGTGTTAATTTACAGTCCTTCATCCAGACCAGACACCCGATCTCCGGGTAATTCGTAGTTGCGGCTGGGTGAAGCACAAGAGGGAATGCTATACGGCCGACAACAAAGATCACTTAGAGACCGTCTGTCAATGCTTTGGTGACATGTGTAACGCGGGAAATGTTCTGGAAAACGTCAAAATTACAGTTCTTTGCGCTTTGTCAGCCATCTTTGTGTATGTAAATAATTGGAGGAGTAATATTTAAGGCCGTATATTTGACCTTAGGTCTCTGAATAATGTTTTTTTTTAACTTTAAATGTACGTTTATTAGTTAATATATTAACTATGTATTGTAAGTGACTTATTTAAGGATATTTATTGACATGTTGTAAGTTAGTCATAGTATGTTTTCATAAATTTTACGTTATATCTAGTCAACTTTGTAAAATATTATAAAAAGACAAGTGCATTGGATATTCTTTAATCAAGAGTAACAATAAAAATAATAATAATATAATACGAATAAAAGAGAATTTTAGTGTTTGTGGTTAATTAGAATTTTTTATGGACAAAATTAATTGCTCAAAATCATTTTATGAACGCCATACTTGTTATTATTAGTACAAGTGTTATTTATTAAATTTGCATAACTTAAAAGTTTTTTTTCTACCATTGGTGATCGTATTTTTTAAACTTTACTTAGGTTTTAAATTAAGCTTTGTAGTATTATTTATGATTATAATAAATATATCACACTAACAACATTTATCATTTGATATTTTACTTAACCGTCGTCCGGAACTCTGTCAAAGTTCATTAGTAGCCAATCTGTTCTTCCAGACTATGTTTTACATCTATGCCAAATTTCAGCAAGATCCATAAATCCGTTCTGAAGATACCTTCTAACAAACATATACATTCCCATTTATAATATTAGTTAAATGATTCTTAATCAAATATTTTTTGAACAGAATAAGTCCACTTATTGTCATCGTATTAACATAAGCCGATGCTATATTGAATGTCAACTGAGTTTGTTGCAGTTTGACAGCCGCCGCCGGTCTCCGCTGTCGTTGCCCTTTTGACATAACAGATAATAAAAATATTATTCAAATAAAATGTTTGCATTAACTATATTATATGTATTTTTGTTAACGAATTGTGTTGATTATGGTAAGTATTAACTATTCTTTAATTATTTCGAATTAAATATAAGAAAAACATTTGTAAAAGAGTCATTGTTCCGACATACAATCTCCATAAGCTAGAAAGTTGGAATAAAAAACTTATATAACTGAGGAAAATATCGTGATTCCTTGGAATCTCTCTCGTCCAGATTCAACTGTATTTAGTAGTTTTTAAATTTAAGTCCTTAATAATTAATAATTTCCGCAGCGTTCAGTATTCGTTGCTATGATTGCAACAGCGCTAACAACTCCATGTGCCTGGACCCCACGGTGTACGACGCGGAGACGGTGAGGAAGTTCCTGGGAACCATTGATTGCCAGGCCGATGTCGAAGCACCGCAAAGGAAAGATTTCTTTTGCAGGAAGATTGTGCAGACCAGTTCGTATAAGATTTTATAAAACTTACTACTATAATATTATATATGCGAATGCTTAGATGGATGTTTGTTTGAAGGTATTTCCAGACCGGCTTAACAGATCTCGATGAAATTTGGCTTACATATAGAACATAGTCTAGCAGAACACATAGGCTACTTTATGTCTTAATTTCGCGCGGACGGAGTTGCGGGCGACATCAAGTTTAATTAAAAATATTTTCATCATAATTTTGATCTTACGCTATTAAACAGACAAAATTGTAGTTATGTGTAAACTCGGTTATGCGAAATAAAACCTACCATACAAATCCTAATGTGTAACCTGTTTAAAATTAATATAAGCGCCTGAACTAGACTAATAGTAGACTTATTCGTAGATTCAATTGCTAATTTTCATTATCAATGGTTTAAGCCATTTTAATAGAGCAATAGCATTTTATTAAAAACTATTTTTCTCAGTAACTACATTATCGGTTCATTTGGGATTTCCATTACTTATAAATGTAAAAGAATCTATATTTAATACGTAAATATTGTTAATATCAGAATAGGTTATCACAAATAGGCTATCGCTAATTATTAGAACCAATCCTCCTCAGATATCAAACAGGAACAAACTAATAACTCACCCAAAGGTCGAATAAGACTAGAAAATTACTAGAATTAATCTATTTTATAAGATATTAATAAACATTTCTGAATATACGTATATCTTGAACTGGCAATTAGTTAAAATAGATAAAATAAGTAAAAGAAGTCTAAATTTTTTTTTTCGTAAATAAAATTCCTATCACAAAATATTAAGTAAAGACAATAAAAAACAAATACTTATTTTGTCAGGTGTGGGGTTCGAACCCACGCTCCCTCTCGGGAACCAGAGCTTAAATCTGGCGCCTTAGACCACTCGGCCAACCTGACTATTGAACTCAAGAACAATAAATTATACTTGATACTATATACCTACATGTTATGAATTTATTTACATAAGCCCACGGTTGTGTTTTAATTAGGTAATTTTTAGAGTATTTTACAGTATAAAAACATATAATACATTCAAACAATTGTAGTACTGCACATTGCTCTGTCTGACTATTCTGTTCTCGTGTGAAAGCAGCATTAGTTTGAATGACGCTATTAAGGAGTTTAATTTCAGTGTAAATTCGTTCTACGCAAACAAATGTTGTAGTTATAAATATACTTGCAGCATATATGTATACGTAGTTATAGCGACAGATTTGCTAAATCGATTATTATATGGTTCCTATGCGGTATGCGAATTAAATTCATTGACTAATACCTAATTGTTATTCACAGTAATGTTCAAGGGTCACGAGCCAGAGGTCAGAGTAACCCGGGGCTGCGGCTGGGTGCGGCACCACCGGGACTGCTACAAGGCAGACAATGAAGACCACTTGGAGACTGTTTGTCAATGTTTCGAAGACGATTGCAATGCGGGAACCGCGCTCACGTATACTACCGCCCTTGTCACGGCTCTCAGTATACTGGTTATTTATTTCTAGTAAAATTTTTAATATTACAATGTGTGTTTTCTTACTTTTATTCATCATCAATTTTCGTTTGACATACTATAATTTTACTAATATTATAAATACGAATGCGTGGTTGGACGATCGCGCAGGTTAGATAGAAAGGGTGCCACAGGTCTGCGATTTACAGTCACATAACCTCAAACACCCCAAAGGCAACGCCAAAATTAAAGAGCTAAAACGGTTACTATGCATAGACAAGATTTACTAATTATAATAAATATTTGTTTAATCTGTAGTTCCATTAAATACGTTAGATCGTTTATGGAAGCGATAGCCATTGAAGTAGAAATTTAGTAATTTTAGGTTATAAAATATGACTCAAACGTTACTAATAAATGCTTGAATGTAATAAGATTGTGATTCATAGCAAATCGTAAACGTAAATAACGTGTGCTCGAATATGTTTAAGTTTCTTTAAGTTTAAGTGAAATTCCATGATTCTGGTTAAAAAAAATCTGAAGCATCTGGTGTGTGCGTAACTTAATCTTAAGTTAATCTGTGGTAAGGAATACCTAACAAGAATTAATTGTAGAATGGAGAAATTCCATACTAAAATAACGATAATACCTACTCCTTGCTTTCCCGTTCCCGTCTTTATTACTCGTTGCATTAAGAGAGGCCAGTGGCCTACATTCATGCGACAATATGGCGGAAGCCCGCCATCACGTGCTGTCACGTCGGATGCCCTCGCTTTGTCCACAGTCTACAGCGCATGACATTTCCACATTTGAATATTATAGCGCATTAAAGGTTAAACTGAATGTTGTCCCTGGTATAAAATTACCTCTGAAAGATTCGAAGTTTATATTTCACACGGACTTGTGACTCTATGTCACTATTTTACAAGAATTTTCGCGGTTTCGAAGATATTGTCGTAGTAAAAATATTTACAGCTTACCCAATATCTGATTAGTAATAAGTAGAAACATATAAATACATTTTATTAAAAAAACAGAAAATTTTGCGTTCTATGCGATTGACCAATATAAATAAACGCCATCTATTAGCGAGAACTTGTACTTCTCGAGTTTATGTAATGCTATTTTTGAACACAAGATGGCTCCTTTTCAATGATAAAATCAATAAACAGAAAAATTATTAAAAGAAAAATTTATTACTTATAACATACAGATACAATGAGTAATACTTATTTTTCGGTAACTATAATTGTACTTGTAATTTTGAATTACAAAACCCATAAAATTTTTATAAAAATAATGATTATTTTTTTGAAAACATATAAAACCATTTTTTCTTGTTAAAACTGTTCAATATAATATTTGGATAAAGTAAAATTGATCAAATCAAAAAATTGCAGGAATCACTCATCAGTCAGGTTGGCCGAGTGGTCTAAGGCGCCAGATTTAAGCTCTGGTTCCCGAGAGGGAGCGTGGGTTCGAACCCCACACCTGACAGACGCATTCTTTTTGTACAATTTTTTACACGGAATCAAATTTTTTTCTAAATAAAAACTGATTTTATCCTGGAAAAATAATTATTCAAGGCCACTGGTAGCCACGAAGGGGCCACAAAAAATTACAGTGAATTGCGTTATGGCTAAGCTCCAAGAAACTTCCAGTTATACTCCAGAAATTGGTTTATGTCATAGAAAAAATCGCCTTATTACTTCTACTAGAATTATTTATAGATTGTACTGTCTTCTGTTTTCAAAATAGTAGTAATCAGCAAAAACGACTTTGTTATAGTTACCTCCATTATTAGAATTTCCCCTTATGCAGTTTTAACCACACTATGCCGTTATTGTTTTTCCCCTACACTTCCATCCCCTCTCTTCGGCTGTCTAGACATTTTTAACGTTGTTCGGGAGGTAAAGAGATAAATGTATCGACTTCCTAGCTGTTTTTAAAAGTATTTGCCTATGATAAAATAAATATGCAGTCTTATTTCTACAGAATAAGTTTAAAAATGCATTGTCTGTCTGTCGATAATAGTGCTTGACTTTTAAATGTTCGGCTAGACAACTTAATTACTAATAACTGTTTATTATTTGGGCCATATTATTAAGCAAGTTAATTTTATAAACCTTATCCGTATTTGTAGCTAAAATTTTCCTAAACAAGATAACCCCAAAAATTTAACAAAACGAATTTGCGTAATTTATTTTACAATTCTACCAACAGGCAAAAATGAACTAAGATTATGAGGTAAATAATATAACTATTATTAAGCTAACTGGCTAGTGACTATGACTTCAGTAAGCTACAAATATAAGTATTTTAATCCGCATATTAAAAACAAAAACTGTACCTACGTCATTCGCAATTTGGTAAAAAAAATGTCGCCCTGATTCACAAATAAATTATGCTTATTTTGAATCTGTATTTGTGTGTGTCTCATTTTGCATGTGTGTTATCACGTTAGTGTGCGTATTGTGCGTTAACATCAGCTGTATTTATTTACACTGTTGTATTTTAAACCTTCTACTCAAGAAAATAGAGTTTATTTTGTTTTTAAATTTTCAAGGGATCTGTTCCAGAGATTACCAGAGATTTCGTCCGGTACTTTTCCGAAGATAACGTTGTATTTACAAACAAAACATATTGCGCAGTTTCAATGCAGTGTTTAATCAAAACAACGATAGACCGCGTCATGAATTTCTACAAATAATAATAATATTATTTAATTACATTTCGTTTAAATTACAATAGTTAATTTGAATATTAATTATTGGATCAACCAGGATATTTCCAAGCTCCAAGAAATAAGATAATCCATACTTACACACATGATTTTAACTGGTCTTAATTACTCCTGGAAATTAATTATTATTCGTACCCTAGGCTTTCGACGACATACCTATACAAAAATTTGCTGTCTCTGTTTTTTTAATGAGAAAGAAAGGGATAACAAATGTTATTGGGCAGTGACATCTCATTGCTACCAACACTGTGGCTTTGTAGACTTGTTTCTTTGGTACAAGAGTAACAAAATATTATGTTTATCAAGCAATAGTTTATTATTTACAAAGACGTTATCTCTAGACTAAAATAAATAATACTGTCAAAACATAAGTATCAAGATACGATCTCTGCGACATCTTTCTAAGAATCACAAATATTTTATTTACTTATTGTTACCGTGAAAACTTAAAACAAATTAAATAATGAATTACAGTAAATTTTAACACTTTCAATGCCATTAACCGCGGGATTCTGAGGCCAAAATGTCTGTATAATATTGTCATCTGTGTCAATCTTTAACAAAACAGAGATAACAATGTTTTAAAGGGAGATTTTGGTCTTAGAAACCCACTGTAAGATTTTCACCTATTAAATTAAAAATCGACGAGTTAGCACTGAATATGTTAAACTTAGTTAAGCTGTTATCCAATTTAGGTTATTATTATTTCCAGGATTTTAATTTGTGGAAGATTTTTTAATGGTTTCATATAAAATAGCGCTATCTGCATTTAGGTAAACTATCAAACTAGTAAATTTTTAATATCTGTCCACTCCATCAGTATGACAAGTGTAGGTACATCAAAGATATGTTACATATCATATATATGATGTCAAGTAGATAATTTAGGATATATGTGATTCCCCTTTAAATATTTTTACGGTATTAGGCAATTAACTACTGCTAACACAATCAACTATTCCAAATTGTGTAATAGTACAATGCCATCCAAAACATCATTAGTCACACGAAATACTGCGCAGTCTATCATGAAAATTTTCGATATACGTTTTCGTTACGTCATTGATAAAAAATGTATGTAAAAATTTGCATGAGATTTGACGCTGTACTCAACACCGGATAGTGGAGCTGGAAAATTCTCTATATCCATACATATTAGAAAAGAATTGTCTGTATGTAACATCGAAAATAAAATATATTCCGTACACATGATGTATTTACGTTGCTGAAAAGGAAAAAAAAAAACAATTTTCAAAATTTTTGTCTGTATGTAATTTAATCGATGAGATGTAAAGATATGATTTTATTATTATATATTATACATTATTTTACCATGAAAAAGCTAGACAAATGTAATAACGTAACTACAATAATGGCAAGCCCTGATATAAGCCACATTTTTCTATTGTTTAATAGAAGTTGACTGATTAAATTCGTAGTAAATGAATTCTTAACAGTGGTAGAGCCCGCTTTAACATCTTCGCACGAATCGGCCCGGCTCGCCCGGTGAAATACCACGACCATACAGAAGACAGGCGTCAAGTGGAAGCTATTCCGCGTGCAGTCTGATGAGTGTGCGTCCCGGAGGCCTAATTTATTCCTCTTTTCCTTCCCAACCTTTTTCTTATAAGGAAATAGTGGGAAGTGGAAGTGGACTTTCCGGATGAGAGGATGCATGGAAGTGTTTTCTTTTCCATCCTCTGCTCCGTCGATTAAAGGTAGGCAACGCATATGCAATTGCGTATGTCTATTGGCAACGGTCACTTCGCTATTTCAGCGATTTCAGGTGGCCGCTCGCTCGTTTGCCACCTTATGATATAAAAAAAATCCTGAAACCCATATTCCAAATAAAAAGAAATTAATTGAACAAATACATGTATCTATAGTAGCTTTACATTCTAGAGGCAGTAAACAACTCTCTGGTCTGTAGTGTACATTCAAGGTAAATATTATGTAATCATTTTTTCCTGGTATTATGGCGCGGTTCTGTGAATCACAACTACGTCACAGTTCAAGCAAACGACTAACTATGCAAATTATTTCACCACGCCTTCATTCGCAATATAGTGTAGATAAATTGTTATGTTTCCGGACGTTTCTATATGAATACATTTCAAAATCGCTTTCGTTAGTCACTTTCCCTCATGTGATATTCTTTTCATGTTCAAGGGAGATGGAGAGAGCTCGGTCGATGTTATTTAGCAACAGTTACTTGAGTCCACAGCAGCATTAGCTGCTCCACAATGGTCCACTCCGGTGAAATACCCACACAGAAGACAGGCATAAAGAGGAAATAATTCAACGTTGTTGAGCCTAGCTACCGAAGGCC